GAGCCCAGCACTGAGACACACCAAAGCCAAAGGAGATCATCAGAAATGTGCAAAACCAACATTTCACCCCCAGAAGAAATTGCTGCCCTATTAATAAGAAAAATATCCCTTTTTCCCCCCTATTAACAGGTAATTTCACAATCTCTCCCCAAATCTGGAAAGGGCAAATGTTTGCCCAGTTTCCACACGTATCCGCCTTACATATTTAATAGGCTTCCTCTTTTTTTTTTCCTACTCCTAACACACAGGATCTTCATAAATTTCCTTGTTAGCATAAATCCCTGCAGTCTGTTATTTCTGGGGGGAGAGGAAGGGAGACGTTCACTTTCTCCATTCAGTGGGTTTGAAAATATGCTTCCTGAAGTTCATCCTAAATATTGCTGGAAGCAGAAGAAACCCTCAGGCTCTTGCTCCAGAGCCGTGGCATTGCTTCAGCAGGGCTGAGTCATCAGCTGGGATGGACGGGCATGGTCCTGCCTTCCTCCTCCCTTCAGGGGTACAGGGACCCTGCTTCCCAAACCCAGCATCCCCCAGTCTCACCACTGCCCTGTAAGCAACTTCTCCACCTTCCCAGGCCTTGGGAAAAGTCCAGGATGATTTAAATAAGCTTCACCCCAGTCTCAGTCTCTTTTTTTTCCTCCTCTCTCTGTTAATTCACAATTATCCTCCAACAACTTTCGTGGGAATAACTCAGCATAAGTCACTGAGCTCATCTCTACATGGAGCCCCCCATCTCCTAGACTTGAGCAACGCTGCTTGGAACAGGCTCACATGTGTACTTCTACTCTCAGGTACTGCTCCCCAGTGCTTGAGTGTGGAGAAGAATTACTCACTCCTCCAACAAACCACCAACCCACAATCCCTTCTTTCAGATACACATTCCCAGCTACAAATGGGTTCACCAGAACTCAAACTCTTGAAGAGTTTATCACATGGGAACTGAATCGATTTCAAAGTAAAAACAAATAAATAGTATTTTGGGGAAAATCTAAAGCACCATCTTCTCTGGCCTCCTGCAAAGCCTCTTGCTGCTGGTACAACCTCCCCTTTAACAGCCCCTGCTGTCCCCATCCTCCCCAGCTCTCACTCATCCCCTGACAGCACTTCTCTCTGCTTGGGTACATCACCCAGCACCAAGTCACCCTCATTTCTCCTGTCTGAATCCACCCAGTGCTGAGCATCCCCTAACTCCAGGCACCAGCTCAGCTGGTCCATGCAGAAGGACCAAGTGCAGGACGCAGAACTAGACACAGACACAAGGAGCCCCTTCCCTCTGGAAAACCCTTCCACACACAGGGCTCAAGCCTTGCAGGCACCATCCCTTCACAAAGGCATTTCCATATGAACAATGAGATTTTCTGTGCAAACGCTGGTATAACTCCCAATTAAGCGAGGAGTAACGAGCAGGCAAGTAGGGACACATGAGACAGGCTCTAGTGATGAGTGGCTCATTTTGAGGAAAAACAGCTATCGTAAGAGCTTGGCACTGACTGCTCCAGGCACAGTCTTCATTAAGTATCTTCTATGGAGACACTCATCTTGTGTGGGACCTCTGCATGGTGGCTGGGGAGGTGAGCAATGAGTTGCACCCATCACTACCCCTCTACAGCTAGAGACTCATCCTTAATTATTATTGCTCCAAAGAAAAACGTTGCCCTAACATTTTTGTCCTCTCTAGAGGATGGACAAGCTGCTCCAGACCTGCAGTGACCATGAGCAATGATCAAGTCAGCATGGACGCTCATGGGAGGCTTCCAAGCAGCACCACCACCACCTTCCACCCTCCTACTTGCACTCAACCCTTCCCCTCCTGCATGGTCCTTAGGACCTCCAGAATTTCATGCCATCACTCTCAAGAGCTCTGGTTGCTGCTTCTAGGAATTCATAGAGCTTTTAAACAGACTAGTGCAGCATGCTGTGCAAAGGGAACACTGGGAACAGGGCTATCCCAGGGTCCTTCAAAGGGAACACCGGGAACAGGGCTATCCCAGGGTCCTTCCCAAGGAAGGTGAGTGGCAGCCCTGTGGGGTTTAGGGGAAGGCAGGCAACCCCAAAGCCCACAGCATCTGCTCCAGCACGTCCCCACTGTCCTGAACCAGTTCCCGCAGCAGCAGCAGCGGTGCAGCCCTCTCTCTACAAGCCTGGCAAGTCTAACGGGTACAGCAGCTTCTTGGCACGCAGCAGAGGAGCCAAGTCTGAGGGGAAGGGAAAAAAAATTACTACAAATGTTCCACCAATTATGAGTCACGGGGCTGAGCTTTTGTTTCTGCCATGCTGGATTTTGCCCTTTCCCTGGTATTTCCCCGGCTCCAGCCGGGGGAGCCACAGAGACACCGACTCTGGCCAAGGATCTGCCGGCACCCGGGGGACCAGCACAACCCTGGCCAGGGCACGCATGGGCTCAAAGTGCAACTCCCACCACAACAGGTTTTCTTCACCTCTGCTCCCCAGGTCTACACGTCTGCAGGAACACGTCTCATGAGGAAAAGGCTGAGCCCCTCTTCGTACTCCTGCGAGCCTCAATGAGACACTGCTTGAGCTTGGAAGAGGGGAACTCCGGGATCAAACACCTCCAAGTGCTTCCCCCACCCACCCAGATTTTCCCAAGCCATTGTACCTCACTGGGAAATCAGGAGCATCCCCAATCTGAGCGAAATGCTGTGGCTGGACACTGATCCTTGGACAGCCAGCCTCATTTCATGACCCAGATCCTTTGAACCTCAGATGAAGAGGACTCTGGGGTATCATCCATCAATCCAGTCCATGACACTAAAGGTTGCATCTGCACAACTATTCACAGTGTGTGCTTCCAGTCAGCACTGGCTGCTACTCCAAACCTTACAGCAAGCCTGCTATCTCATGGAAGACTTTTCCCTGTTTAAGAACAGTATCATAGCCATGAAAAGGTCAACTTCAAAAAGAGGGGTTTTCTTTTTAATTCATATGTATGACAGAGGTGATCTTTCGTCTTCATGCTTAAACTTCCTGTTTAGAAGTTCATCAAGTAAACAAGTAACAGTAGAAGAATGGTTCTCTTTGTTATCCCAAATTCAATTTTGTGGTTTGAGTAGGAAAAGCCTTTTTGATGATCAAAGCCGAAGCAATAAATAGCAGTGGCTTGATGCTAGATCCAAAATGTACTTATTTTTGGAACGGGAGTTAAATGCACATTGAGTACACACAAGAAGAGGCAGGGAAGACCACATGCTCTGGGTATCGTTTGTGCAGGCCTACATTTCAAGCACACCTATTAAGTAAGTTGAAATGGAGAATAAACAAGCTGAAATGTGGCAGATAGACTTGAGCCCGAGTGGGTTTTTTCCTTTTAGCTCCCTGTGATGACAAGTATGGGTTAACTGCAGCAAAGCTCTTATCCTCTTTCAGCAATCATGAGCATTGGGGAAAAATAAATCAGACAGCCCCAGACTCTTATTAAAAGTTACACCATTGGAAACTACACAGGGGGAGAGGAGTATCCGATTTCAGCCCAATCTCAGTCACATGTTATCATCATATTGTTCAAGTAAAAGTTAAAATCTCTGTTCTGTTCCAGAAAACCCACCAGATGTCCCATAAAGGACTCCGCTGTGAGAGAAACTCACTCATTACATCCTCAGGAACCCCAGTTTTCCATCTCAGCTGCTATAATTAATGGCAATTATCAAGTTACAGTAAAAGCCATGGGCATGGGGAGCTTTACAGACACGTATCCAGCCTGAGGAACGTTTGTTAGGAATTGCAAACACTTATTTATTATAGTGCAACCCTGAATAATCCAACTCCTGGCTATCAATCGTTCCCCTGCTATGGACACTTGGCAGCACAACAAAAGCAAGGCAGGTCGGCACGCTGCGTTCAGCGTGCGGTGGCAGGAGGACCTTGAAGGAGAAGGAAGAATCCCTGGAGGAAGCACCACCATGCCACGACACCACGGTGCCACGCTGCTTAAATGCTCTTTCGAGTGCTGCGGAGGTGGGATTGGCCTAAACATCCCAAGGAAGTCACAGGTCTCACCAAACCAGACAAACTCTTGCAGGCAGATAATGAGAAGGGATAACGACTATGAAGCCATGGCTTCGCTGTACCCAAAGGGTCCCCTCCACCACCATCCATTTATAACATCCCCCAGAGAGCAGTAAATCCCATCCATGGGCTCAGCAATCCAGCAACTCAGCACTGACATGTCCAACTCTTACCCCACTTACAAAGCCCACCCCAGCCACTGAAGGAGGCACATGAGGCTTCACCAGGATGAAGATTTGTCCATCTCCATCTTAGCTCTCAGACCATTAACCAGGTCATTTCTTACATAGAAATTAAACCCAGACCTATAGACAGGTCCTTCCTGCCCACCCCATGCAGCCAGCCCCAAGCCTGGGATGCAACCCCAGAGGAGAAAGATGTGAAAGGATCAACACAGCCAAAGCCCAACACCAAGCAAATGAAAGCCCCAATTCTACCTGCTCACAGGTAAAACCACCCCAGGCCTCACAGAGCACCATTAAATGAATGAAAGGTTGCAGGGGTGGGGCAGAGCAAGAACCAGGACCTAATTAAGCAAAGTTTTTTTTCAGGAGCTTCAATGGCACCATAGCTGGGAGCCCTGCTCATGAAAGCAGAGCCGGGACACAACAGGTAATGCAAGCTGGACGGACTCAGCAAGAACCACCACAAAGCAGCATCACTTGACACGGCCTCGCTGCTCCTGCCATGTAATCAGTGATGGGGTAAAGCCCCGCACCACACCACCACACGTCTAAGGTGGCTTCCACAGAGGACACACATGGCTCAGTGGCCACCTCCCAGATGTCCCAGCACACACATCCCATGAACAGCATCTTATTACAACCCGCAGAGCGCGGATGTCTCTGAAAGATCCACTCATTCTTTCCTTCTTTTCACACCAAGCATGTAAACCAACAGCAGCACCACAACCCCTCATCTTGTCCCATGATCCAGCCCCAGACACGAGCTCCCCAGTGCCGACCATGTGTGCCAACCTGAGAAGTCTCCGGGCGTGACGTTGGGCGAGTTTGTAGCCTCTGTTTCAGTGTAAGACAACGTGGAATCTGATAGATCTGGGAGAAAAAAGGGGGAAAAATAAAGGCACTTTTAGTCCTCCTGCGTTTCCAAGTGCTACGTGAGCACCCCTGGCTCTTCAGCTTCCCACCACCTCCCCAAGAGGAATTCTCCACTGGGCCAGAAAGCAGCGATTAACTTTGTACCTCTACCACGCAAATGCAAACTCTGAATTGCTTCGACCACAAAAATAACTGCAGTTAAGTTGATCAAACAAGTAGGAACTTGGTGCTTACTGGATAAAGTTACATTAAGCCTCTAAACAACTCCTAGTTACTATACTTAATTATCACCATTAAAATTCTTGAAGCTGTTTATTCTTGCTTCCTTCCTTCCTTCCTCTTTGCTGAAGCGAAGGAAACTTTGTTTTAACAAGTTAAGAGTCTTTGTTATTCTCTGTTGCTTACACCCCTCTAATTAAGTGCTCAACTGTTTGCTCACAGATTAACTATTATTTTTCCAATCAAACAAGCCAGTGAAGCAAATTTCAGTCCCAGGCTGTTGTTTTAAGAAAGTCACGTGTCACTCGCTATCATCGTTCCCTGCAGCACAAGCAGTTTCTAAAGGGAATTAACTTGGAAGGGGGAGCACAGGAAGGGACAATTCCTTTCTTTTGCCTCCACAGCTAACAAAACCCCCACATATGACCAGAAAACTATTCTGCAGGGCACTGTGGTCCCTGCCGTGTGCCCCAGACCGGCTGCAGTGATGAAGGAGCTGGTCCCTGCAACAAGTGTGCGTGCACAGTGGGTACATGAGCAGCTGCAGGCAGCTCCAGGCCTGGCAGGGCAGGGACTCACCTTTGGCACTGGGCAGCTCCCGCCTTCCCTAAGGGCTGGGTGGGACAGGCAGGCACTTGTGCTGCCCCGCTGCTATCTCCCTGGCAAATCCTGCCTGTCTCCTCCCTGTCCCTGCCTGATGGCAAGTGAAAGCGACTCACCTCAGTCATTATCTGCCCTCTAAATCAGAGCTACAGACTATGGGATGAAGGGAGAAATCTCACATTCCAGATGCAGCCATTGCTGCACCAATCCTGGCAAGACACCCAAAAGGGATGTGGGATTCCTCCCTTCCCTCCCATGTCTTTGCTTCCCATTTACTTGAGCAAGAAGCGGGCGCTGAGAATGGATGGTCAGGGTTAGGGATGCCAATTCACAACATGTGCACCATATACGACCAGGATCCACAGCTGGATTTGCCAGGCTCTCCAGCAGCCTTCCCTTCATGCCTACCCAAGCAAGCCACTTTCCCTAGCTTTCATTTTAAGTAACACTTATAATTCCCCATGAAAAATGAACCAGCACTCGGAAATTATACAGCGCCGAGTTTCAAAGAGTTTATGTCTCATTTTAATAAGCAGAGGAAGGGTAATAGGTGGTTCCTCCGTGATGCAGACAAGGCTGTATGGAAATGGCACCCAGGAGCTCCCACTCCCCCTGCGCTCCGTCATCCCGCAGATTACCCACGCAGACAAAACATGATGTCTGGAAACCTTTCATTACAGCTTCATTAAAAATAGAGCTTCATGTTATTTTGGAAGATCTGCATGTGTCTACATGGCAATTTGAGCTGATAAACCCACATCCATTTACTCCTTAAACCCATCAGCTGATGCTTGCTCACAAATAATGAGCAGCCATAAAACCCTGACTTGTTGGCTTCTGCCTGACATGCCACGTAGGGATGTCTTAGAAGCAACACCAGGACTGCGCCATGAAAGAAGGGCCGGGAGATCAAAAGAGAGAAAACACGTACCCAGTGGCTTTTGCTCATCATTAGGAGACAGCCGAGAGTAGGGAGGTGGTGGAGACTCTGCAAAAACAAAACTTAATGTTAGTGCTGTGCTCAGTTTGTCAACGAAACTCTTGCGCTTTCTCTGTCAGGGCAGGAGCTCTTCCAAGGTTGTAAACACCCAGTGGAAGGAAACGCACTTGGAAGCAACTCAAGAATAAGAGTTTTCCAAATCTTTGAAGAATGCGGGTTCCACCTTGACCTTTCAAAGGGGGTTTTACTACTGAAGTGCTGCAGCTCCCCCCTACACCCCCTGCCCTGTGCGGGCACCCACAACCTGAAGCACACAAAATGGCACGTGGCTCCCGAAGAATGATGCTTTCATCATCCGCACTGGGAGATGTTCCTCCAGCCACAGCTCAAACACACACGGGCTTTACAAGAGCTCCCCAAACACATTACAAGGACTGATATAATGTGTTGGGTGGTAAAAAGATGCTCCTCTCTTGGCACATGCAGCCCGACACCAGGGGCCAGACTGGCTTCAGCCAACCAAAGTAACTCTGGTCCATCCCAAGCAACCCCTTTGCTCTCAAGGGGCTCAGAGGCAGAGACCAGGTCCCCCATGACCCTGCTCCCCCTGACCTCCACCCAGCAAAGCTTCCAAGCACATCAGCAGTCATGGGCTTAAAGTTTAGCAAGTCCTTAGAAGTGCTCTGGTCATCTACCAAGCTCTTGCTGCCCTTGTAAAGAGCTAAGACTACACAAAGGGCTGACTAAGGTCCTCCATCAACTTCGTGCTCTGGTTAGAGGGTTTTTTTCCTTCTGAATTACGGTGGTGACGCATTTCTTTAATTATAACTTGCTAAAATTGAGGACTGTGCAGCCAGCTGGGCTGTACCATGGCACCAGCACTGAGCAGACACTGACTTCACTGAGGAGTCAATGGCATCACCTTGACCCCAGCCTACTAGAACAAGGGTGTGCTCCTCAGTTCCCACACACTAAAAGCACTCAGCCCAGCTCGGATTAGCTCACCAAGAACCACCTCAGCATCACTGATGTGATGGCTCTGGGATGGCCTGTGGTCACCTACCGTTTTCAAGAAAAGGTTCCTCACCTCCCCTAAACAAGAAAGCTCCCCAGCATCTAGGTGCTCTTCTCACAAGGCCCTTAAGAGCTTCCCGATAAAAAACAACGGTGCCAATGTCCCAGTCTGGGTACCACAGCCCAACCTGTGCAATGCACAGTGGGTCGGTCCCACACTAGAGCCAGACTCACTGCCATAATCAGCCAATTCCAAGCACTGAGGCGTTTCCACGCCATTCAGCTGCATCACCCACATGAACACGGAGGGTTTCCACCGGGAATCACACAAACACATATGGAAAAGGGCATCAAGGCCTTTCTCAGGCTCCCACCACCACCGCCAGCGCC